TCACGGTGGCACAACGGCCAGGAGATCGACTCAAAGCACGACTCGACCCTTCTCGTTGCCAGCGTCCGTTCGTGGATTCAGTTGTTCGGCGCGATAGAGACAGTCATCGTGGACGGCGAGGGCGGCGTGACCTCAGCGAAAATTTGTGGAGGAGATGAAGAGGCGAGGTGTCCCGGTGGACATCGGAGCTCCGCGACAGCTCGCTCGTCTCATCGAACGACGCGAGGCCATGCTACGATGGGCACTTCAAACCGCAGGGGAACAGCTAGAGCAAGAGGGTACCACAGCGAACTTCGACGCCAGAATAGCTCGCGCAGTCTTCGCGGGTAACGGCCTCATCCGCGCGTGCGGCGTTGCACCGCGCAGCGCCGTCTTCGGAATGCGGCCATCCATGCTGCCACCATTCGCAGCAGACGAAGGGGAAGAGGTATCCGGCGCTTACGACACCGATGCCAGTCCTTCTCTTGGTGGAGAGGTGCAGCCCAGCTGACTGTGGCGAAACAGAGAGATCGCACAGCACTGCGTGGTCGAGGCCACGTCGATCTCACGCGTCAGGCGGGCCTTCCTGACACGCGCCGCGGAATCCGAAGAGGTTCGCTTCAATGTTGGCGACCAGGTGGATATTCGCGAGCCCCCGTGCACGAAGGACGCGCCGGGCTGGGCGCGCCCTGGGGCGGTCGCGTAGGTGGACCTGGCTCGAGGCCAGGTGGCGGTCAAATACCGCCGAGCCGACCGACGTGGTCTGCAGGCTGCAGGACGTCCGGCCTTTCATCGGCGCCGTCTTCGACGACATGGGCACTGGTTTGGCTCGAGTTGGCCTGGCCTGGGAACGAGTGGAGGACTTCCTGGGGCACATCTTACCAGGCTCGGGCGCCAGGACCTTCGGCCTCTGGGGAGACATGAACGGCGTGCAGATCACCGCGCAGACGCGGCAACGCCCAGTCATTTTCGAAGCTCTGGGCAACGTATCCCGCAGATGTTTACCGCTGCCAGACAGTACTGTCTCGCGTCTGACGCGCGGCCAGAGATATGTGGGCGATTGGCCGGGCTGCGCCCGCAGCGCGGTCACATGCTGAGCCCGTCGGAGTACAGGTGACACTCAGTAGATTTACTTCGACGGCGTCAGGTTCGACGCCAATGTGTTCATTGGCGATCAGCGGAAGGAAGCTCGCATCATCCCGTTCATCCTGGATGACGGAGCGCTCCTGGCCGCAGACGCAGAACGAGATCCCGAGGGATCGTTCGATGGTCATGTTGTCGACGGCCCAGAGGACTCAGCCAGCTCCACTGAGGGGGGGCCCCCATCAGCACCGTCGGCTGTACCCGTGGAGACCAGCAGCGACTTGCCACATCCAGCAGGTGACATTGGCACTTTGGCGCGAAGTCGAAGGGCCAGAAGTTGACCCAGTAGCTGGACGAGCTGGAGAGCGACGACAGCCAGCAGCAGATCTACGCTGCTGTCGAGCACGCTTCGACCAGACATCGCCACCGGTCACGAGCGCGGCCCCGGCGCCTCGAGACGCAGCGCCAAAGCCAGGGCATCGACGCGCGGCGCCGCGACTACTTCTGCGGCGCCGCCCTGGACGACTACGCTTCGCTAGAGGAGGAAGGCGAAGGGGGGGGACATGTGGAGTTGTACCTGGACTCAGGGGCGCGCGAAGTATTCCTGAGGTTCAACGTGGAAGCGCCCGGCAACCGCGTTGCTGGCACTTCCCAGACTGCCATGTTTAATGTGAATGCCGACGTGGAGACCGCCGTCATCAAGCGCGACGCCGACCTCCTGACCAACGAGGAAGTGTCGAGGTCGTTAAAGGAAGTGGCAGCAGCCATCAAGGAGGAGCTCACCATCTGGGCCAAGTACAAGTGTTTCGCGAGGGAACAGCTCAAGGGCGCCGTCATGGACTCCAGACGCGCCTTCAAGTGCAAGCACCGGATGGGGCCCGACGGCAAGATCGAGAAGATTACCCGGCGCCGCATGGCGCTCATATGTAGGCTTTCGCGACATGGTCGCTGGAGCCTTGGATACGTTCGCAGGGACGGCGAAGGGCGCGTCGCTGCGCACACTGCCCTCGGAGGCGGCACGTCGCCCTGACTGCGTCTACGTCGCCGCAGACGTCGAGGAGGCACTCCTGCGCGGCATGATCTACGCCGAGATGCAGGAACAAGGCGAAGCACCACGCGAGGTGCACTTCACCCGGCCGCCCAGCAGTGCAGTCATCCTCAGGCAGGTGCCCAGCTACGAGCCCTTCGACGAGCGGACCGGATGTCTGCGCTGCTTCAAGCCTGGCACGGGCTGCAAAGACGCACACCGAGCTCTCTCTACGAAGCCCGCCCGGGTCGCGCGCGCGCCTAGGTGCCGCCCCAAGCCTGCCCGATGGGGCCCGGAGCTCGAGGTCAAGCACGAGGGTTCCAGTGCTTATGGCGCCTGCGACGCGAAGCTTGCGCTCGCGCTGTCCAAGCACGCTGACGCTCTGAAGATTGGTGGACGCCTGGGGCACGTTGACTGGCTGATCGGCCACGCAAAGGCGCCTTCGGCGAGATGATGGGCCATGACGACGACGTCGCCAACTGGGGGGTGCACCGGCGCCGCACTGCCGACGGCGCCCCGACGCTCGACCAGGGCGAGTACATCGACGCCCCGATACCCGTCGTGCACGTCGACTTGGACAAGGCGAAGGCCGACGAGCCAGCAGGAGGACAGTTTCCAGGTTCCTTTGTCTTCTTCATGGAAGCAGCGCCATACGCTCTGCTCACTCAGTACCGGGGGGCTCGTGCATTGGCGCGCTGCAGAGGGCCGAACACAGCTGATCGCCCACCGCGCGTAACAGCTCAACTCCGTAGCTTTCCTCCCTTTTCCTTCCTCTCCTTTCCTCCCTTTCCTTTCCTCCTGCTCCCTGCCTGCTGTCTCCGCCTGGCCCGTCTTCTGCCTGCCCGCCCGCCCCGCCGGCCCTGGCCTCCCGCCTGGGCGTTCGTCGTCGTCTGCCTGCTTCTCTCAGGAGGGAAAAAAGACACAGACACAATTAATCCTCGATTCCCAGGAAAATATGGGAAAATATGGGAAGTGGGGGGGAAGACAGAAACCCAGAAGATATGGGAAAATATTGGGGATCTTTTTATTTGTGTGTATTTATTTGTGTGTCCTGGGGCCCCTTCATTTTCCCCTCCTCGTCCCCTTCCGCCGGACAGCACAGCCTGCCTGGAACCTGCGTGGCGGCATATAGGAGCCTGACGCTGAGGGCTCGAGAGGAGAGGCGAGCCTCGCCTCGGGCCTGCTGCGGACCAGGGCCGCCGCCTTCTCAAGCATTGCTGGGGGTGGTTCCGAGGTGTCCAGGGTTTTGCTCCCAGGCAGTCGTCCACGAAACGCGTTCTCTCCAACATGTGCAAGTTGCTTGGCCAGCCGCAATTCAACTCCGTTGTCTTGGTCATGCAGAAAATCGAGACGGGCATCGCATTTCCCTGAATGGAATGCGCTGCGCGCGCAGCCACGGGTCCTTCAAGACGGAGGGGGAGATTGGGTACGGCATGAGAGGAGCCGTGCACATGCGCTTGAGCAAGTGCCGCAGTGGCGAGGAGGCGCGCCACTTGCTCGACGCCGTGAGCCGATCGCAACAGGTCGCATGCACATCATCATTCGGCCCAGAGCTGCTCGCAGCCTGCGGAGCAGCGGACGGCTTGCATACGCACCTTGTCGCGCTTCACGAGACGAACCGCAGGCCCGCCTCATCGGAAGGGAGGGAAGAGGGCTACGCAGTGCCTGCACCGCTGATCATGGACGGCATCTCCGTCTTTTCGGCCCTGGCCATTGCTTTTTGTCGACCCCCATCGGAGAACAGCATGGCCAGGCATCTCTGGTGGTTGTCAAATCAGCTCCGCACCAAGCAGATTGAGGACATGCTTTGGTGCGATACTCGCGACATGAGGGCCGCCGTCATGACCAAGGGGAGCGTCGGCCGAGCATCAGGAGTGGCCAGCTCAGCTACGACCACACGACCGTCAAGCTGAGCGAGGAGCGGTTCAAGAAGCTGACGTCTAGCCCCCAGCATAGCAGTCTCACCAAGGGCAAGGGCGACCAGAGTGACAAAGCCACCAGATCGTCCAAGATCACGAGCCAAGACGGCCTTGGTTAGCAATGACTACGTCATCGCAGCTCACAACCCCAGCGATGGCAAAGGATGACGCAGACGCTTGCATCTCGCGAACTATGTTCGCGAAAGCAACGTAGTGAAACATGCATGTGAGAGGGTTGCATCCATGAGCTATGGCCGTGGACCAGCGGGCGAGAGGAAAGTTGAGCATGCAAGCCAATGAGGCGTGCCCCATTTACTTGTCTACCCCAGCAACTTGTTATAAGGCTCCGTTGGTTGGCGCATGCTTTGCATGCGCTGATCGGCGAGGCACAAAGGCTCGCTTAAGCATCAGACTCGAACGGTACCTTTTTTACCCGTCCCTGCCCATGTCCCCTTCTTGTCCGTTCCGGATGCCGTTTGGGCTCGCGTGGTGATCAGTTCGTTCGCCCGCCTTACTCGCGTCTTATCCACACGTTGCGTTTTATCCACACATTCGCCTTCCTGCATCCGTCTTCAGAAGCATACGACTTCCCCAATGTAAGTCTCGAATGCCCATTCTCCTTCTCATTTTTTTGGTGTTCGATGATATCCCGTTACATTTGGAACGAGACAGGTGGATGATTAGCATGGCCCCGGCGCAAGGATGTCACGCTCAAATCGAGAAGCACGTGCAATTTGAACATCTGCGGGCTCTCCTCCTCGTCCTTTTCTTCCTCCTCCTCCTCCTTCCATCCGCTCCGAGGTTCGAAAATCGTGGATCGTCTTGTCTGTGGGCGTTTGGCCCCCCAGGGATTTGCGGAAACTTCCAGGAACCTCCAGAGGCTTCCGGGGAACTCCAGCACGACCAAGACGGCCGAGAATCCGCAAAGCCTCGGGTTGCCGTCCCGGCGCTGACGGCGGCCCCTGGGCTGGCCCACGGGACCACGGCACCAGCACGTGGAGCACCCGTACCCCCCCCTCTTCATCGAGATGATCGCCAACTCTTTCTACCCCGGCTGCAACGTGACTTCGATCTCTGAACGGAGGCTTCAGATCTAGGCCTCCCAGATGGGGTCGGAGTAGATGGGGTCGGGGGATCGCGCCGCACTGCCGATGCATCGCCGATGCGGCTCGATGTGGAGCCCGATTTGCTTCGCGTCGAAGTCGCCGATGCCTCGCCGACATCGACGATGTGTCGCCAGTGCATTGCCGATGCATCGGCGATGCATCGCCGATGTATCGGCGATTCGGCGCGATCCTCCGACCCTATTCATTCCGACCCCATCTGGAAGGCCCCTATCAGAGGAGGCGAACCTACAGTCGGCCCGGATTAGTAGGTCGGCCCTGCCAAATCAAGGGTACCCTTGTGTCCTGTGTCTCGCGACCCATGCCTCCTGCATTCCTATGGCAATGTGGCCCTCTGAAGGGTCTTTTGTCCTCTCGCGTGTCCTGTCCAATGAAGTCCGACTGTAATTCGTCCACACGTAAGAGTGACCCTTCGCCGGAGTGACCTCTGGTGCGGTCCCATGGGGGTCCCCCGGCCGCCGAGCGCGACCCGAGGGGTCACTATTGCGAGTAGCCGACCAATCCTGTCGGTGCCCCTTCTCTCTGGTTTCCCCATCTCTTTTGCCTCCAGGAGGAGCCCCCCGTCGCCGCGCATCCGCCTCGGAGTCCTGAGCAGAATGCGCGCTGGAGGAGGATGGAGGAGGAGGAGGAGGAAAACGAGGAGGTTGAGGAGGACGAGGAGGAGGAGGAGGAGGAGGAAGGAGGATGGAGGAGGAGGGAGGAGGAGGAGGAAGGCGGATGGAGGAGGAGGAGGAGGAGGAGAACTGAGGATGGAGGATGAAGGAGGATGAGGAGAAGGAGGAGGAGGAGGAAGAGGAGGAGGAGGATGGGATGGAGGATGGAGGAGGAGGAGGAGGAGGAGGAGGAGGAGGAGGAGGCGGAGGCGGCAGCAATGCCTCTTCGCCCCCCGAGGCTCCCGTCGGCCTGCGGCCCCAGTGCCATGCGGGGCGCCGAGGGCTGCTTCGAGGTGACCAGCCTCGGCAGCGCGGCCGGCATCGTGGTTTACGAGACCACGGGCCATGTCGGTTTGCCGGACAAGTGGGCCTACCACATCGAGAACGCGAGCCCCCACCCGCACCGGGATCTCAGCAGGATGAGAGGGAACGCCACCTGGGGCGAGTGCGGCTCTTCCGACGCTCTGGCCAAGGTGCCCGCTTCTGCCAGGTGAGGCCTCCCCCTCCGAGGTTCGAGGATCGAGGATCGGGGGTCCTTGGGCCTCCGGGAGCCTCCAGAGGCATAACAGCTTCTGGAGGCCCCTGGGGCAGCTAGCAATCGCCTTGCCCCTCATCAGCTTGCGAGGCTCAAGATCCCGACGAAGTACGTGGTGTGCCGGAGAACAGATGATGACGACAGCATCACCGAGGAGCACGTTCGGGAACAGAACAGGTGGGCCAACGAGGCCTTCGGCGGGCGCTCGCCTTGGGAGCAAATGGACTTCGACAAGGGACGTCCAGTGTCCGTGGATATGCAGATCAGCTTCGAGCTCATAGACATCACGATCGTGACCGACATTGAGTGTGCCCAGAAGGGGTTCGTGCGCACGGGACTGCTGCACAAGTACAATCGTGATCCATCGGAGCACCTCACCGTCGTCATCATCACGGACGATAGCTCGGGCATCCTGGGCCAGACGGAGTTCCCGTTTAACGCGCCAGAGAACAGCCCAGAGCACGTGGTTGTGGTGTCGAGCGTCGGATTGCGGGGTTATGCACAAAGGTTCGGCACGGGCATGCTGTACGACGAGGGGGACACGGTTGTGCACGAGATCGGGCACGGGCTTGGCTTATACCACACTTTCGAGTCGGGCTGCTCCGACCTGGGCGACTGGGTCGATGACACGAACCCAGAGCAACTCCCGCACTACGACTGCGCGGTTCGAAGAAGAAAAGCTACGCAGGCACAAACGTTCGATGGTCCGCGCGGATTGTTCGGGTCTGCGCTGGCGCTCTCCACGCGCCTAGAGCGGGGCCCAGCGCCGACTCGAGGGATCCGGGTGCACTCGCGTTTGACGTCCCGTCTCCTGCAGGTGGACAAGTCCTGCGGCCAGATCGACCCAGTCCACAACTTCATGGACTACTCGCCGGACACGTGCATGATGGGCTTCTCGGAGGGCCAGAAGCGCCGCGCATGGTGCGTGTTCGAGCACTACCGCCCCACCCTCTACCAGAAGTCCCTGAAATTGTAGGTCAGGTGACCTGCTTCGCCATTGCTGCAGCCGCTAAGCTCAGCACGGCGGTCGAGTATTCTCTGCTGGCGCTCGCGGAGCCCCGCGCGCGCACCCCACATCGAGCCGCCTGCCGTTTGGGCTGTACGGCAATGATGCTGTTTTTTACGTCTCTTGTTCACCCTCCGCCACTTCATCTTCATCTGCATCAACATCAGTGCCATCGGCAGCATCACCACCATCATCATCACAATCATCACCATCACCATCACCATCATCATCATCATCATCATCATCACCATCATCATCAGCAGCAGCAACATCATCATCATCATCATCATCATCATCATCATCATCATCATCACCACCACCATCATCATCATCATCATCATCATCATCATCATCATCATCATCATCATAGCCGCTCTGGCTCTGGCATTTGCTGGCGCGGTGGCTTCTATCCTGCACCTGCTGGACGCTCGCACTGCCATGCCCTGCCTAGCGCGAGTTGACTGGATTCGGAGGCAGCTCGGGTCCGGAAGGGCGGTGCACATCGCCTTCGGCCTTGCGGCGGACGCCTCAAAGGCCACGGTGAAGGTCGTGGAGGCGCCTGCCGCTGCGGGTGCTCCTCCGCCTGCCGCTCGTCTTGCTGCGCTGGGTCCTCCCCTTGACCTCCTTCGGCAGGTTGTGGAAGGTTCGGTCACCGCTGATCGTGGGCACCGATACTCTGACGGGTGTTCCGTCGTGCAGTTCTGGGTCAAATGTGCGGGTCGCGACCGTCCTCGAGTCAATGGCGCTGGTGGAGGTCTTGGTGATCATGACAAGGTTCAAGCTGACGGAGGGCACGATCGTGGTCGTGACGCTGCCTCGCAGGACCCCTGGCATGGCCCTGACGGGTGCGATCCATGGGCATTCGTGCCTGGTGGCGGCGGTGTCGGCCCACAATCCAAGGTGCCACGGCGACGTGGGCCTGCCGTGCATGCTCCGCGCGTTGCTGCTGATGACTCGGTATCGCTCGGGTGCGTGCACTTTTTTCTCGGCGGGGGTCATTAAGGATCACCCTGGATCATCGTGCGAAACAAACCACGCACGAAACCGAACAAAAAAACAGTGAATGGACGTCCGAGCGACGGGGAGATGAGGGTTCTCTCGACGCTGGTGGTCAGGAGCACGGTCCTGGTCTCTTGTCCTGGCTTGTTGGCATTCCTGCTGCACGGGCCCCTTTTGCCCGCACTTCAGGATCTTCTTCAACGCCGTGCTCAGAATGCTCACGCTGGCGGCGCGGGAGATGCATCGGCGTCGCCTCCGAGTGCGCTTGTCTTCCCGACGCTGGAGGTGACCGCTGGCGCGAGGGCCGCGGGGCGCAGCGTGGTCAGACACTTCGTGGCGACCTTCATTGGTGAGTTGGATTTGCGATGCGCTTCGGTCTCTGAGCGCCGGCACGGGAAGGCATACGTTCATGGGCTCCTAGCTTGTTGTCTCAGGTCTGCTCGAGATATGAGGGCCTCGATCGGCTGGCCGACAATTTCAACCAGCTCGAGCAGGATATGGTTCATCTCCAGACCCTGCTTAATACTAGTTTGACTGGAACGCTCACGTGCGGGCCCTGATCCCAGATTGTCTTTTGGGCAGCGTCTCTTGGGCAGCATGCGGCGCGCTACGGCTTCGGCGTCCCAGATTGTCTCTTGGGCAGTGCGTGGTGGACATCGGCATCGGCGTCCCAGATTGTCTCTTGAGTATGCGGTGCGCTACGGCTTTGGCGTCCCAGATTGCATATTGGGCAGCATGTGGCGTGCTACGGCTTCGGCGGCCAAGTGTGTCTCTTAGGCAGCACGCGGTGATCTACGGCATCGGCGTCCAAGGTTGTTCCTTCGGAGTTTGGTGGTGGACAGCGACCTCGGCGTCCAAGATTGTCCCTGGGGGAAATGTGGCGTTCGTCGGCTTCTACTTCGCGGTGAGGCCTCGGACCTGCTATTCTCCTGTCGTTTTACTTCGCGTCGTCTTGTCCCGTCGTTTTGTCGCCTCTCCTTTCGTTTCCTGCCTTCCCGCGTTGTCGTTTCTCGGCCTCGTCTGCCGCCGCCCCCCCTCGTTCCATCCATCATCGCATTCCGCTCGCGCGTTTCGACGAAATACGGAGAACTGGACGAGTCCTACAAAAAATCACCATCGTCATCATTCGCATTACATGATCGTCACCATCATCAGCAGCATCAGCATTACCTTCACCATCAACACCATCGCCACCACCACCATCATCATCTCCATCGTCATTATCCTCGTCATCGCCATCATCCTCGTCATCGCCATCATCAGCACCACCATCGTCAGCATCATCATCATCATCATCATCATCATCATCATCATCCTCATCATAGTCGTCATCACCACCACCACCATCATCACGATCCGCTCCCCATCCCTCTCTTATTTCCCGTTCTTTTCGTTCTAAGTATCCTCATCCTCGCATTCACTCTTCATCACCATTCACCCATCCTCCGCTTCCTTCTTTGACCATTCCTACCCCCGCCTCTCGTTTGCCCGTCCACCAGTCGTCCACCAGTCGGAACGACGCTCGCTCGTTGTTGTAATCGTTGTTGCCATGCGTGCGCGCCCGCGCGGCGGCCATGTCACAGTCCACACAGAACGGGGCCCGCTAGCACGTATAATCGCTTCACTCGTTCCGGCGGCCCGTACTGTGCCGTTGCAGGCGTTCTTCCGCGCGTTCGTGGCCTTTCAAGGGCCGTGTGGGTGCCTCTCGGGGCGTCTTTGGGGGTATCTTGGGAGCCCCGCGGGGCGTGGCGAGCACGGCCCACCGCCCTGCGCCTCGCACGGCGAGCTCGCCCGAGCTTTCCTGCGGGCGGCTGGCCCGCGGGCCATATCCGAAGCGCGCGGCGAGCGGGCGGCCGCCCCCCCCTCCCGGACCTCCAACGTCTCGAGAAACTCGAGACGGAAGTTTTTCTCTGTTTTCGGCCTCTGGGTGGCCTCGCCAGGCCCCCAGACTGTCAAGAAGTGGCTCGGGATGAAAAGCCAGCCCCCGGGGGGAAGGTCCAGGCCTCTGGGGAAATCGTCCTGAGAAACTCACGACGTCGGATGTCTCTGGGCTCGGGGGCAGGCCGGCACCCCCTGGCCCGAGTCTTCGGCGACGGGGCCACAGTGCCCCCCCTCCCTCGCGAAAGGCTGGCCGCCCTCGGCCGTGGCCTGGCGGCCGGCCTCGCCCATGTTGCCGTTGCTGTCGAATGCAAATTACCAAACGATCATTATTGTCGGACCCCTTTGCAAGCGGTTCGGCGCTCTCTGCAGCTGCAGCGCCGGCTGCATTTTCATTGAAAATGAGGCTCGGGGCGCCCAAACCGGCCCCCCAACAACATCAACAACAACAACAACAATCATTTTAAGCTTGTTCGCCCTTATCTGCTCGAGTGTCCAACGAAGCGTATTTCCCAAACCCTCGATACCCGCCCTCTTCGTCTTCGATCGAACCCCTTTTGGGGGGTATACTTTTTTTCCCTGCAGGCGGGGCCCCGGCAAGCGGCGGGGCGGCCGCGGACCGTCGGCCTGGCCAGCGGCAGCGCTGATCGGCGGGGCGGCCGTGGACCGTCGACCCGACCCCAAGAGGGACGGACAGGGGACCGACCACGACGTCGAACACGACGACGACGACGACGACGACGACGACGACGACGGCGACGGCGGCGACGAGCGAAAGCGAGAGCGAGAGAGAACGACAGCAGGGCCTTAAGGACACGAAGTAGGCCACGAAGGGCGACAGCGGGGACACGAAGGGAATGCGTATGGGGCCACGAAGAGCGCGAACGAGCGGGGGCCACGAAGGGCATACGTACACTGGGCCGCGGAGGGCAAGGGCGGGGCCACTGAGGGCAGCAACGGGGCCACGAAGGGCAGCGAGGGGGCCACGAAGGGCATGCATATGGGACCACCACGGGCGCGAACGAGCGGGGGCCACGAAGGGCATACATGTATGGGGCCACTGAGGGCAGCAACGGGGCCACGAAGGGCAGCGAGGGGGCCACGAAGGGCATGCATATGGGGCCACCATGGGCGCGAACGAGCGGGGGCCACGAAGGGCATACACATATGGGACCACGAAAAACAGCGAGGCGGCCACGAAGGGCAGCGAGGGGGCGGCGAAGGGCTGCAACGGGGCCGCGAAGGGCTGCGACGGGGCCACGACGGGCAGCGAGGGGGCCACGAAGGGCTACAACGGGGCCATAAAGCCAAGCGAGGGGGCCACGAAAGGGCTGCAACGGGGCAGCGAGGGGGCCACGAAGGGCTGCAACGGGGCCACGAAACAAAGCGACGGGGCCACGAAGGATTGCAACGGGGCCACGAAGGGCAGCGAAATCCCGATTCTTATGTAATTTGTGAGGGAGTCCTAAACGTGAGCGCGATTCATGGGTGCCTGGGCGTCGGGAGCGCGGCGCTTGAGCACATTGCAGGAATTTCCCACGCAAGGACGCGATTCGTCAGTAAATTGCAAGCAAGTCTCCAGCGAGAGCGCGACTCCAGAGCGCCGGGAGGGCGATTCCTGAATACATTGTAAGGAAGTCCCAAGCGCGAGCGCGATTCCTGAATAACATGCAAGGAAGTCTCGGGCGGGAGCGGGGGTAGGCGGGAGCCGTTGTTGTTGTAACCCGGGGGCCAACGACACAGTTAGACCCTCAAGACTTTCCCTGACAAAAACAGGGTGCGAGCCCCGGGAAGGGCACTTCAATCGAGAAAAAATAATGTGCACCGGACGGGGAGGATCAACCATATGTATTTTGAATAAGTGAAAGTTCAACAGCAACAACAACAATAATAATAATTTTAAGACTGTTCGCCCTTATATGCTCGAGTGTCCAATAACGCGTATTTCCAAAACCCTCGATACCCGCCCTTTTCGTCTTCGATCGAACCCCTTTTGGGGGGTATACCTTTCTTCCCTGCAGGCCGAGCCCCGGCAAGCGGCGGGGCGGCCGCGGACCGTCGGCCTGGCCAGCGGCAGCGCTGATCGGCGGGGC